GACAAGACCCAAGAAAATATCTAGTAGCAGAAATAAATTAAAAAGATGTGTAAATACAATTCTGGAAGTTACTTCTAATCTGTCATTCTGATCGTTTCTTGATTACTTCATTTCATAATTCTGTAAGCCCTTTGTGAAACCTACTCAAAAGTTTAGTAGCATAAATTTATATGAAATTATAATAGAAACTTGTCTCAATGATCCAAATGATATTCATGCCCACATGAAAAATATGTTCATTTGACAAAGAAATCGCTACCTTCATTGGCACTGGGTAGTGCATAATGTAAAGGTCAACATAGTCCAGTTGAAGCTTCTTCAGTTGTTTTTCCAAAGCAGGCTGGACCAGCTCTGGCCGAAAGAAAGTACACCATAGCTACAGACAGTGAAGAATGGAAGTTGTGATCAGTTAATAGATTGCCCAAACATGCAACTTATTTATCCTAATACTGAATTATTTTTGTACGTGAAGGAAAATTATAATCATTCACTTTAACACAGGATTTGCGTTACTCATACTTAACAGTGTGAAATCAGTTACATGTTTTTGTTATTGTTAGCTCATTTATTGAACAATGAAAAGTAGTTACTCAAGAAATAAAACACATAATACTAATAAAGTCTAATAACTAAATTTATTTCATAAAGATTATAATCTACCATTACTTTTTCTCACCCATTTGTACAACTGACACCTTTAACCAGCTTCTGATCAAGAAATATAATTTTAACTTTTTTATATATCTTTCAATAATTTGGCCACTTACATGCTATAAAAACTCTACCTTTGTAGTGATGAACATGTCTTCTCTCTTTATAACACCAGCTTTAATATTGTTTTGAATGGCCTGTCCTATCTCCTCTTCTACTTGATACGCATAAGCAGTATCAATATGGCGGAACCCAACACCTATAGCTAAGTTGGCAGCCTCCAGTGACTTGCTTTTGTGAACCTGAATAGCAAACAAAACAGGTATTTAGAGATACATCTTCTGAGTGGGCTTAGATGGGATTTGCTAGCCATAAAGAATTTGTTCTTTCAAAATTATCATCAGACAACAAGGCAAGAGCCTAGTCCTTTGATCCTTGAACCCAGAAAGCATGTCACTGGGTTACCTTTCTAGCTGAATCACTGAGTTCTAGACTCAGTGGGACAACCTACTCACAAAAGTAAAGTAAGAGTAGTGGAGGAAGACTTTGACATCTGGCATGCACAAATACACAAAAACATATAGTTATAGAACATATACAAAAAAGTAAAAAAGGAAATCAGACTGCCTTTTGAGTATTTTAGTAATTTCTGCCCTTTTTCCATAATAAAGCACAGTGACTAAAATTCTGCCTTGTACCACCTTCTCTGAATCCCAGCTCTGACTTAGGTAAGAATAAAAATCACTCTGTGAGCTACCAACACTGATGGTTTAACAGGAGCCTTGAGACCTGTTGCTGTTTTTCTTACTGTCACTTTGAAAAAGTAACTAATCTTGTATATGTCTCCAGATTTATATTTGTAAATATGCATAAATCTAACAGAAAGGAAATATATGAGTTTGAAGTTAAGGGAAGTGGTCTATTGTCTCAGAATTTATAAGATTCAGGAAGTTTGCAAACAAGAAGGTCCCTCCAGGTTAAGTACACCTTGATAGTTTCAGTTCTGGAGACCACCATGCTCTAAACCCAACATGCATTAATGAAGACTAATAATTCACACTTATGGTTACCAGGTACTCTTTGCCCCAATCATAAGGATATATTATAAATTCCAGTAAGTTTCCTACAGTTCAGAATTTGTATATGGGGAACTTATTTAGTTCTAATGCTGCATTCACTGTGTGGTGCAGAAGTTTACCCAAAAACAAAACTGAAGTAAACCTCAAATACTTGTACCATGCAATACTACAGGCAGACACCCTGAGTTACCACACTGAATTCCATGGATCTTGCATTCTTAAAAGGAAATATCAAGCTGTGGATTGTAGACATGAACAGAGAAGTCCCTCTCACTGCAACCAAGAACACTGATAGGCAATCAGATGACTTTCATTTCTTCTATCCAGCTCAGAAACATAGACAAAGGAAAAGCATAGTGCCTAGAATTTTTAGGTCATGGATATGTCCCTTGAAGCCCAGAGCTCAAAGCCCGAAGACTCATGCTGAGTTCACTCTTAGAACTGACAGACTCCAAACCAGAACAGTAAACTCATAAGCAGGTCTGTACCAGAAGTACAAATCTAAGGAAAACAAAACAAAATAAAACAAAAACAAACAAACAAACAAAAAAAGAAAACCAGCCACATTCAGCCAAGACCAGAGAGCCTCACCTCTAGGAAAAATAACCATGGAACTTAAACAATCTTTCTCCCTACCCCTATCCCTGACTAAATTATAGTAAATGTCCAAAGGCCTCTGAGTCGTATACCCTGTGCTTCCATCACATAAAACACTAACACCCACTCTCAAAGAAACTGTTCAAAGAGTTAGGCCTTCCCTTTGTTCTCCATTAAGCCTTTCTCTCTGCTGGATCACAATGAGAAGTACAAACATGCATAAGACTCTATTCTGACAGAATTCTGACTCAGCCTATCTAGGGAAACAGATTAGTCTCCTACTCACAACCACCAATTGCAGCCACTGCTGCAACCTCTTTTTAATAGGAATAATAAACAGGTTGGGACTCAATCAAGCCCTGATGTAGGCCAAGCCAAACTATCTGCCTTCCTGTACATGGAATAGGTTTAGACTGGAAATACTTACATCTTGGGGTTTATAGGTGCCAAAACCCAGGGCAGGAATGAAGTGGCCATCGTTTAGTTTGACAAACTGCTGTTTGGAACTCATGGCTTGTCACTCCTCTGCCTAAGCACGTCCTGAATCTTCTGGTGCTTCTGCCCTAAAGTGGAAGTTGGGAAACATCATATATCACCTTCCTGTCTAGTGACTAACAAGTGGCACTCCCATTCTGGTGGTTAGCCCTTCCTACATCCTGGCTATTCTTTAGCCATTTCTACTCCCTAGAAAATGATCAACTAGTGCTATTGTCTGAGTAATGGTTAAGCAATACTGCTGTATGCCTACTGTTTATGCCCTACTATTGACTGTCTAATGGTCAGGCAGCAGAAAGGAGGAGGCAGTTGTAGCATGATTTCTAGTTGATCTTAACAATAAAAACCTGGAGTCAGAAATTAGAGGAGGAATGCTGAAATATCAGAGAAGGAGAGCACTCAGCCACTAATCCTACCCCCATGAAATCCTGAGACCAATGGGGTACCCTATCTCTGCAAGTCCTAAGACTGAATACTGATTCTATGAAACTTCAGACTGAAACCTCAGACAGTGTTATTCTTTCCACCCAGCCTTATCACTTCCAATGCTGAGATTAATAGTGTGAGCCACCACTACTTGCTTCCTTTCTTTTTAGACAAGATCAATGTCATGTATCCAGGTTAGCCTTAAACTCACAGAGGTCCATCTGCCTCTACCTCCCATGTGCTGGGATAAATGTGTTTGCCACCACTTGCTGACTCTCTCACAGAGGAATGTTAAATACCCCCACCCTGTGCCAAAATATTGTATGTCAGCCATTGAAAATGATATACAAGCTCAATCAATAGTTTGCCATTATGTGGATGATATTTTACTAGCAGATTAAAATGTAGATACCCTAGATAATTAAAGAAAATTTTGCATTATTGGGGATTACAAGTTGGTCCTGAATAAATGTAAGGAGGAGATTCTATTAGTTACTAAGGATATAAAATGGCTCTATAAAAAATTATACCGCAAATATGCAAATTAAGAAAGATCAGCTGCAGATTATTAATGACTTCCAAAGACTGAGAGACATTGACTATTTACAAACCACTGTGGGAGTAACAAATCCAGAAATAAGTAATTTGTTCCAAACATTGAAAAGTGACGAGGACTTAAATAATCTCAGAGAATAATGAGCTGAAATGAGAGAGAATTGGCTTTGTTGGGAAAGAAATTTCAGGATATACATTGGATCCAGGTTTCATTGCATTCTGGTTATTTGACCTTCTATAATTTCTTTAACAGGGATTTTAGAAGAGGGAAGATAACATCTTAGAATGGATATTTGTATGATGTAAGCAGTGTAAAAAATTTAAAAAATTATAAACTTACTTGGAAATGTTCTGAGTTGCAGGAATAGACCCATCAGAAATTGTTGTAGTTTATTCTTATGATGAAATTGACTCATTGTGGTCAGAAAACAAATGTTGGCAAAGAGCTTGACAAATTTTGGGGGAAAGATTAACATCAAATATCCCAAAGACAAGAGAGGTCAATTAAAAAAAGCAATTACTGGATTTTCCCTCACATTTTATGGGGAACACGAATATCTGTAGCCATAACTTAGGATCACTGTCAGATAAAAGCCCACAACTCCTGAAAGCCTTGAATCCAGTTGTGAATTCTGGAAAGACCATGGCTTCTCTGATGTGATCATTTTGGTCAGCAACCATCATGATAGTGAATCTGTTATTTAATATTGATCCATCCTTGGTGCCTAATAACAGTAGACAATCTCAATTCGGGGAACCTGGATCCTGAGTGAGATGGGCAAAGGAGTTAGTCACAGAGAAAAGGCAAAACAGGTGTCAGAAACTGAAAATTCAACTGGAAGATTTGGCTACGACACTGAAGGCCGTAGAAATCAACCTCATTCTCAGTAGCTAGCAGCTTACCACATCACCTTATCTATGTGTGTTATAAACCCAAACCTTACATCATCAGGTGGCCAGCCTCTTCAGTCTCCTATGTGAGTTGAGGTATGCTATTAATGGGACTGAGAACTATGAAGCACCAGCAAAGCATTTGACTTCTTCACCTCATCCCTCCAGCAGCGTGTCTACGGATGAGTGTGCTTTGAAAATAGACAGTAGTCTCTAAATAAAGATGTCGGTGCAGTATTCACTTCCCTCATCCCCACTGAAAATTGGAGAAGCATTCTTTTTTTTTCTTTTTTTTTGGGGGGTCTACACATGAATTTTTATTTTTTATATTATTCTAATATGATATTCAGGAATATAATTTACTAAGCGATAATGGTGATATTTTAAAATTTTTTTATAAGAAACCATCAAAGAAATTTAACTCTTTTACATTCCCATCCTTTGTAATCATAGAGTTTTGCAGCAAAATTATTGAAGTGTACAAGCTAGGAAATCGAGAGAATGGGAATCTGCCAGGCCCCATGTTGCAATACTAAGTGTCGCCAGTAGAGGCCGCTCCTGGTCCATAAAGAAATGAAGTGGACAAGCCCTGGTGGGCATGTTGCTCTTAACTGGCTGAACAACAAAGTCTAACCAGTAGGAAATCTGTCAGGGGCATGGGAGTTAAAGCAGGTGACAACTAGTATTCAGATGTAAACCCATCAAAGAAATGGCTATCTGATGGAGGTTAATCCTGTCCAGAAAAGGTCTGCAAGAACATTGACTCTGAAAGTCGTTGCTCACTTTGGCTAAAGCAGCTTTGTTCTCCACAATACCTGCCTTGTAGTGTGTACTCTCATGTAATGTGTATATGTAATCTCATGGTTGCATCTTATTCTTATGGGCACATATATCTGTGAGTGGTCAGGTAGATGACTTTTCATTTACCTATAGAGTTTGATATGCATAATACATACTGCAACATGCTTCATAACTGGACCTATTTGTCCCACAAGGACTGTGGACACTGAAAAACATGCCTTGCTCTTTGGCTTATTGGGTGACTTCCCCGCAATCTGTGGGAACTCCGGTGAGAAAATTTAGTCACACAATCAAAAACCTTGATTCCCACAGTCAAATCTCTGCACCATTCCCTGAGATAAAGCTCGGAGGTCGATGTTTTTACAATTATCTCTATTTGACAGGACATTTAGTTAGGAAAGGAGTCTTTCAAATAGATCACATTTTGGAACATCAAAGATAAAGGGATGTCCAAGCTCGTTTGAGATTGAGTGCCCTAAATTCTCCCACAGCCAACTTGGTAAAGTGTTGACCTCATTTGACCCCCAGCTCCAACCCTAAAAATGGCTGTTAATACCCTACACCTACCCCTAGTTTAATTAAAGCACACCTAGAAATGTAGTTTCATGCACCAACTCCACTGTTCCCTCTTTGGATTTAAAGTTTCCTAAACCAGCCTTTCAGTCCCCTAGGTTTTCCCTAGATTTCCTTTTAGCCTCGCTTCTCCAGAGCCATAAAGATACTGACACTGTCACTCAGGACAACCCTTATCTGCTTTTGGACCCCGAGAAACTCAAGCTCTGCTACTTGCGATTCCAGAGAATTACCTTTGTTTATGTATGTATATACACACACACACACATATATATATATGTATATATGTATATATATATATAAACGAGAAACCTTGCAGCAAAAGAAAGGAGAATAAAGAACATAATTTGAACAACACGTGTGTAAACTTGTTTCATACTTGTTAGATTATCCTTTAAGTGCACACATATGGACAAAGGAAACTTTCCCCTTTTGTCTTTTTCATCAGCAAAGTAGATCAAGCAGGACAGTGATGTAATTAACAGGAAAGGCTTAAACACAAGGGATCTCATTGCATTTGTCATCCCTGAAGAGCATGTCGATAACTGTAGCATGGATTCTGGATTTAGGCTCCCATTCAGAGATCAAGTCTTTCCACCCCAGTTCTTAGGGGAGCCAGGCAGTAATGCAAATGAAAACAAGTTGCCTCCTTTTGAGAATGTTTTGGTTAAACTTGTCCCACTTCTTTAGGATGCAGTCCGGAGGGTGGGGGGCATTTAATGAGATGGAGGTGAATCTGATTCCCCAACAGAGGGAATATGAATCAGAAAGCTAAGAAACATTTCAGATGGAGTGACCCTCATTTTACCTATGCATCCTCTACTCTCCAGAGGGCAGTCATGCGTTTCTTTAGGTAACACCAGGGAATTCTCATTCTCATCTAGTGATTAAACAGTGACCAATCTCTGGGTCATCCTTTCCAGATGCCAACCATTCTCAAATGTCCCCTTTATGCTTAGGCTGTCCCCTAGACATAAACCAGCCCAGTTTGATCCTAAGCTCTATCTATATTCATGGTGTTTCTCCCAGATATTTGTGGCCTCTTTTCAATTAAGCCTGGTGTTTGAGCTTGCTGGTTTCCTAAAAACACAGCTGGTGCCAGTCAGCAAACAACAGGGTCAGAGAGAGTCCCTGCTTTGTTTAGGGGTAAGGACTTCATATAGGCTTTTTGAAGAGTGCACACAAGCTGGGAGCATGACTCAGTGGCATAGTACATGCCTCATATGTAAGGGCCCTGAGCTCATTCAAAATGCAAAATGTATCTGTCTGTGAGGTGGCTTGGCCTGTAAAGGCACTTTGAGGACCTGAGATTGACCCCCAGAGTCACATAAAGGTGAAAGCAATAAACCAATTTGCAGAAATATATTCATAGCTTTCAATGAATGCCATGACATATGTACCCCTACAAACATTATGTGCATGCAAACACGCACATAATATAACAACAATAGTAATAATAATTTAAAAAATATTTTTCAAAGACAACCAAAGAATCCAAGCAATAGGGATGAAGATCCCCATAAAAGGGATGATGGTGGTTTAGGGTCACTCCCTGTCAACAGTTTTCATGTTTTCCAAGGCTATTCTGAGGTGTCATAAGAAAATAAGGCTGCTTGGTTAAAAAGACATCCTGTTCTCCAGCCCTCAGAACAATGATCCTCTAAACTCATCCTTAAAGTCTTGCACCTTCCCCAGACAGCCAAGTGCCACTTCAGAATAATCACCTCAGGAATTCCAATGTCTTTCCAGAACATATAAGAGCAAGCAAAATGTTTTTACTGTGGGAAACAGCTGAAAACAAGGTTTTTGACCACTCCAAGTTTTCAGTAATGGTCACAGAAGCAACAAACCAGACACGGCTGCCCTTTCAGCTCTTTTGGGTCAAAGAAAAGAATGAAACCAACAGGCTGGGTGGCAGTGGCAAAAAACCGGGTATACAAGCAGTAACAGAGGAGAGGGGTGGAGAGAGTAGAGCCATTTAAGCTAAATGATTCTTAGAGCAGAAAAAGCAACAAGAGGAAAAAATTTCAGTACCCTTAGAAGATAGGAAGGGAATGAGACAATACAGTTGCCAAGCAGAAGCCGATTCCTGGCCAAGGGTATTTGAGGAGGAGAATGCCTCTCTGTGCCCTTTAAGCTAAAGAAAGTGGACCTGTATTGAGCACCAGATGTCCTGCAGCAGGTCTCCAGTTCCCGCTGGTCTCAATTTTAGCTTCAGTCTTGTTTATTCTGCATTCCAAAGTGAAGAACACACAGCACAGAGAGCAGCCAAGAGTTTCATTTCAGAGGCCAAGGAAGTAAGAACTCTCCAGAATAAGAGCAGGCTGAGCCCAGCAGCAGAGCCTGGCAACTGGCAGGCAGGGACTTTTATTTGTCCTCTCCTTATAACACTTGCCCTCCCTCCTCCAGGGTGGGCCCTTTTAGGAAAGAGGCCTGCTTTTCTCAGGACCCCATTTTCTTAGGGTTTCCACCTAAGATATAGAAGGTTCAAAAATATGTGTAGGATTTTAATTACCGATAAAATAGAAAAGTTCACTGTGTATGCTCTCCTGAAAATGCCAACTTAAGATGGAACTTCCAACACCTATTGTAATTTATGTTCTGTTTGTGGGTGCAGGCATGGGCCAGTCCTTCCCAGAGCTAACCTCATGCCTGAGCCTATGTGTGTTTAATTTGCAAAGCTTTCTGCTGTGATGAAGCTTCTACTTGATCATACAACACAAGAAACAATGAGCTGTTATTACAGGCTTGAAGAAACTAGGACATTCTACAAAGATGCTTTTGTCCCTTCCTGGGCTATCAAACTATTGAAACAACAGACCTCAAGAAATTAGGTTCTCCCTAGGAATGTTGAACTTGGAGAAAAAACAGCTGTGGTTACAGGACAGCCAGAAGACAAAATGGTCCTCAGGAGAAAGATTTATGATGTAATAGAACATCTTTCAGGAGGAATTGGACCCACAAGGCACCACATCTTGACACAGTACATAGTTGTACATACTGCACACCACGGGAGTGGTCATTTCAGCTGGGACCATTCAGAACCCAGCTGGGATACTCAGATAGTGGTGCTGGATAAAACAGACATGTGTGCTTGAAAAGTGATTCTTAACAATTTTAGGTGGATGACACCACTCAAAACCTTTCAAGTTTTGCAGCCTTTAATCATAGACTACAATAAGTATACAAAGAATTAGGTAAAAGTGTACACTATAACTATGCAATGGTGTTTATTTTTCACCCAGTTATATATTCATTTGTTTTGGAGATAAATTTAAAATCTTTGAAATTTTACATTTCTTACAAGTTTCTCCTTAAAACAACATCAATGGCCATTAATAAGTTTTCTTTGCCTCATACACAAGTGCAACCCACTTGTATAATAGCTCCATTTAAACAGAGCTACAAAAATGGGCTTTAAAAAGGTTTCAGCCCAAACAGAAATTTAAATGCCCTTAAATAT